TTTACCATCAATGATGATATTCTTTGTCTATATATTACCATCAAAAGTATATAAAAAAGAATTTAATGCTTCTGTCCTGCAAAAAATTGGACGGATTCGTGCTTTATTTTAAGGAATGTTATAAATATTCTTACTTAATGTTGTCTGTAATGTTCATAATTACTTGTATTTGAATTTTAATGCTTTCTAATTATATTACTAGGGTGTGGGTGTGGGTGTAGGTGGGTGTGACTGTACAATGAATACAGAGCATACCAATATCCACACCCACACCCATTTTCATTTAGATGAAAAGCAAAAACAAGAATTACGGAAGAAAAATGAACAAGAGATTGAAATAAAATAAAACATTGATACTAAATGTTATGAAATGATCCAAAATTTAAATTTGATTTTTGATATAAAAGAGATTTGTTTTGTTTTTCAAAGAAATTCAAATAAATATTTCATAATTTCTTTATCAAACTGAATTCATTTAAATTTCAAATGAAAAAATTCAACATTTTCTTTATTTTTGATTTTGAATGAAAATTTTCTATGAAAAATGATTTAAATTCAATTTTCTTCTTTTTCATCAAATAAAACCCAAATTATTGATAATTTTCAAATCAATGAAGTGTTTATGTGACAAAATATTCGTTTTTTCATTGACATTTGAGGATGTGCGTATTAGTTTTATTACTATTTGATCTATATTAACATTTCAACAGTCGCATTTCGCAAGAAAAACGTCTGATTAGAATAATTAAAAAAATGGCCGATTAAATAATTTAAAATATTTCTATGAATAATGAAAAGAAAATGTTTATCATTAGATTCCAATTAGTTGAAGTTGATGAAAATTTGATAAAAAGAGTGTGGGTGTGAATTTGAATGTCCCTTGTTGATCTAATAAGAACTTCCACATCCACACCCTCGGATAATTAAGAGAAAGAATAAATTTGTATAACATTCAATTTACTTTTAGATTTTACAGAATTTTCTTGGATTATTATTTGATAAAACTTTGTTTAGAAAAATAAATCTTCATAACTTTTTATTTGAATGTGATAGAACAAATCAACTGTTCTGCAATGATTTAATTTTTCATCATAATAAAATATTTTAATTTTATCGATTGAATCCTTACCGAACGGTAGAAAATGCTGTTGTTTTTAAGAAAGTATTCAACATTTCACAATGTCAATCTCAGTATGATGTTTTCTTCTTCGTTCTCTTCTGTATGTCAATATAGAACAAAAGAAATGATTGATATACTATTTTTACTTATAGCTATGTTAATATCATCATAATTATTCATCATGATGAACAATTTCAAAGGATAATAAAATAATAAGTTTAATTGATTTTGTTAAATGTGAATATGATACTACTAATTCTTTTGTTTATGCATTCGTTTCTCATAGATTTGATGATATTGATATTGTTGAATAATATTTGATGAAGATTTATTCTGAAGATCAACAACTAAACTTTTCTTATCATTTATCTAATGTGTGAAATAAGAATAAAATCAATTATACAACACATTTCTGACAGCATATAATATCTTTCAACTAAATGCAAAATAACAAAAATATTTTGTTGTCAAAAAATTTCTGTTTTATTGTTCAGGAAGCGTTGTATTTCCTTCGTTAAGGCATGATTTGTGATGTATCTTTAACAAGGATAACATTCAATTTTGTTTGAAACACTTTGTTTTGACATCCTTCCTACAAACATTTCAATATCATGAACATTTTTTATATTTACAACAAATAATGTCTGGCATTTCATATCAGTTTTGACAAAGGAAATGAATTCATTGTTGTTCTCTATTGATAAATTCAAATGTTGAGTTTATTGCAAATATTTAATAAAAAAAGAAAGTTCCCATTAACATCATTATGTAGGCGAATAGACGGAAAAAAAATAAACTTCATGTTCAGTTTTCAATAATGTAGAGAAGAGTTTTTTTATCATTCAAGTTAATTATTGAAGAATGTAACTAAAAAGAAACAAATTGTTTTTATTCAAAATTAATCATTAGAAATTAAATTAAATTCTTCTCGGTTTTATTTGTTTCATAGTATTGCATATCAAGAAATGGATTCTCAAATGATATTTTTCACTTTATTTTTATGTATTTGTTTGATTTAAAATAAAAATAATAATGAGTGAATGGTTCTGATACTTACTGTATACAAGCGTTTTTATGATAAAACATCATAGGTCGATGAAAACAACAAGATCATTTTCTTTTTCCAGATCAATTTTGAATAAAATATAATCTATTGTAAATGTCGAAATCTACGAAGTAGCATGTGAAACTAAACTAGTTGAAACAAGAGTTGATTTCTATAGAAAAACAAAATTGAAAACCAGCACTAGGTGAAGGAAATGCAGAGTTTCCTGAGAGAAAAGAATATATTTTATTATTTTTCATTCATATGAAAGTCTACAGAGTTACGCTATGACTCTATTTTTATTTGTCAAATTATTGTCGATAAAATATTAATTCGGTAACAGATTCAGATGAGTATAAAATATATTGATGAGAGCGAGGATTAATTAACATTAGGATAAGAGTAATACACTCATCTGTCAAATTAGCATTCTTATATTCATTTCAACACAAAAAAAGAACGGATCTCATGGTATTGCACAAGACTTGATGATTGATATAACTACTGTTTCCTTTGTGTTCACTTTCTCTACATAAATTTTCAATCAGAAATTAAAAAACAAGCAAAAATATAATATCCACAGTCACCGCGATAGTCGCATCTAAATGTAATTATTCAAAGAATCTACATATTTTATATGACTATGATTGTAATTAAAAGCATGATTAAAGTTTTCTCTATTGGCTAGTCATATCTAATAGACGATAACTAAGTGAAGATCAAGTATTAATTATTTTTGTTTTCTTGGATATTCTATTTCGACTTTCAATTAAATCATTTATCTATTCTGGAAACAATTATTGCATACGATAAAATCAAATTAAAGTCCATTTCTAACCATAAATATTGTCTAATTCTCAATTAATTTAGAAGAATCGCTTCGATTCTTTAAGTTCTGAATTCCTCATCAGTTGAAAATTCGCGAAGTACAAACACGTCGCCGATTTTGATGCACTGGAGGCTTTTTAATTTACTGGTCTTGTGAAATTCGTTTGCTCGACTCTACCTCAGTTATCAGGGTCTTTTATTCACCTTTTTCACAACAGATTAATATACAAATTTATGGGATTTTGAGTGTTTTTCTAATTTTTGCATTTTGGTATGTTTTATGATAAAACAGTATATAAATTATATCATTGTGTGACTTTGTGATGATAAAATATTTGCTTTATAATAAAATATCAGTAATGCAACTATTTTTTCTTTTTTTGTTCTTCCTCTCTCTTACATGTCCTTTCATAGTGATAAATATCAGCGATAATTTTGACTGACTCTTATTTATGATAAAGTGATCGTAAGCACTCGTTTACAACAACAAGAACATGGAATTCACAAGTGAGACTACATCCATGCCAAATCGGTTAGAGAACTTGAGTGATGAGATTCTTTTGCTCATTTACGGGTATATGAGCAACGAACAGGTACTGCATAGTTTTTATGGTATGAACTACCGGTTCAACTGCAGTATTCTCAACTACGAGCGCCACATTGATCTCGTTACGATTTCACGCGATCTTTACTCCCATTATTTTACAAATATTTTTGCATATATAGGCGCGAATGTTCGCTTTCTCGTTTTACATTGTGGCAAACTGTTTGAAAATGACTACAGCGATGATAGACTGCTTGTGCAACTCAATGCTACGTTTCCTAATTTGGAGCGCCTGACAGTCATTGATCGAGATCTTGAAATACTTGAGCTTAGTACTTATTTTCAGTTTACTATGCGTGCGTTTGAACTGTCCTCATCGAGCGCTCAGTTCAGTAGTTGTGGTGATTTATATCAGAATATTTTTCTTGCTGAAAGTTCACTGGAAGTAGTTGTTTTGAAACCAGTCTGTTTTCTCATTAATACAATTCACCGTAATAGTGCTACTGCACAGAATCGTATTACGGACTTAACAATAAAATTTCGGACACTCGCGGACTTTCTTCATTTTGCTCAATACGCACCGCATGTTCATCGCCTGCATTTGACTATTGGTTTTCGTGATGGAGAACCTGTACAACATTACACTGCATTTAATCACTTTCATTGCGTAAAACTCCATGCATATATGCCGGCTCTTAAACATTTCACTCTCGTTCATCACCCCATGGTTAGACTTGAAACAGACTTCTTTTTAATGATGGTTCATAACTGGCCTCATCTTCAAACGCTTGGGCTGTTTGCAACCATGGAAGATGTACAGTTGTGCTTTGGAGAAGGATGGGAAGACTTGTTTACCAGGCACCTTCCTAGAGTAAGTCAATTCGCGTGTGAGATCCAGTTAGAGTACTACTCGTACTCGATGAAAGCTGACGAAACGTTCGCTACACCTTTTTTTCAAGAGAAAGGATGGTATTTCAACAGTTTCGTCTATACTAATCTGTCGTTTGACGATCGCAAATATACACGTCTTTTTACAGTACCGTGCTCTACCGCCGTCTCCTTATGGTCGTCTCTTGACGAAGGCATTGGTCGACAAATATCAACCAACAATACTACTATTCATCCAAAAGTGAGTATCGTCTCGCTCGAACATGTTGATTTCGATCATACGTCGCCTATACATATATTTGATCAACTGATGTATATGTTTCCCAATCTACATACATTGAAACTTCATTGGTTTGCCGAGAAATATATTGAGACCTACTCCAGCAGACAATCGCAAAAATCTGCATACATTTCAGTGCGCCACTTATCACTTAAATCATATTCAACTGGAAATAAATCTATAACGGAATTTGACAGGCGTTTCATGGTCGAAATGTTAAAATTTACACCAAATATTCGGTCGTTGGGTTGCGTCAATTTGTCAACAATTGTTGGTCTCTTGAATGATTACTCATTTGGTTACGTTTTCAGTCAGATTGTTCATCTCGAAATCTTTATTGATATGCATAACTACAAGGCAAGCAACCTGAAAGTAGACATCAGTAAAATGACGGTGGCTTTTCCGCGACTGATTCATTTGAGGATATGTCTGAACGGTTTCAAGTTTCTGAGCTTTAATATGACAAACTACTCGTTCGACGAAGTAGTCATATTACAAGTGCTCGGTCAGCGGAATCGATGGTCATCGTTACGTAATTTCACACTTTGGGGCTGCACGAATGATAAGCTTGAGTTTGATCCCACCGAATGGGTGCATAAAAATACTGAGCTTCGTAAGTTTTATGTCGAGCCAAGCCGTTATAAGGAGAACGAGAGCGAGCCTAGCGAGTTTAACATTTGGTTCTAAATTTAGCTTTGGTCCAGCTTTGTTAAATAAATATTCGATATTTTATCTCAAAGTTATTATCACAAAAATATTTCTCCATTAACTTAAACGAGGCTCCACCGGTAGGTGTGAGTATGGATGGGTGTGGCGGGTGCGTGAATGTAGGTGAGTGGTTGTGGCCGGTGCGCGTGGGTGAATGTAGGTGAGCGGGTGTGGAATAGGTATGGATGTAGATCATTCTGCACTTACCAGTGGATTCTAAGGGTGTGGGTGAATCAAGTAAGACTCAAGATCCATACACAGCCACTGTCATACCCTTAAAAAAGAGTTACATATTTTAAATTAGCATTATATTCTTAGTAAAATGAGATCATTTTTTTATCTATCATTTGGATTTGGATTATTTTTCATGATGAAATATTATTTTTCGCTAAAATGAACAGTTTATCTCCCATACAATTACTTTGTATTCGGTCCCATTACAAAATTTCACTTAAAATCGGACCATCAATAGAATAACTAATTTAATTAAAGAGCCATCATAAAGATATTGATTTGGGACTATGTATTTTTGTCCTCGTCTTTTTTCATGGACACTGAACAGAGAAATCCATTCCGAATTTCTATTCCCTTGAAGAGGATTGGAGGGTGTGGGTGTGGTTTGTTCTATATTCCATACTAATATCCTCACTATGGCAATCTTCCTCCGTGAATTAGAGGTTGATTGAGTTAAAGTCCATTTTTTACAAACTTGTTTACGTAGTGCGGAAATCTCATTTAAAAAAAAGAAGACTGCCTTTTCTTTTACTTCGCATATTTGCCATGCATAATTAAGAATAATCTTGATCATATTTATGCCTTTATTTCTGTAGATAAGATGGAAAACGCATCTTGAATAAACTTTATACTATTAAATCAAACGATTCATCCTTATGTTCTTATTCCATTATTATTCTTTGGCATAATTGAAAATATTTTCAATATATCAATATTTATTCTACGTATATTTCGTAATAATATTTGTGTTATTTATTTTCTTTTGTTGAGGGCGTGGACGTGGGTCTCGCTACTCTTTTCATCTAGATTTACACCCACACTCACCCCGAAATTTTAAAAATAGATAATCAGACACCTTGAATACTAATTAGGATCAGTACTTAATAAATTAGCAACGACCAGGAAATTGATTACCAGAACGGAACAATATTACTCAGAACCTAGAAGAGACATTCCCAGAACAGAACAATATTAATCAGAGCCCGAAGTGGTATTCCCAGAACAGAACACAAAAACTCACTGTTCAGAAATAGTATTTCTAGAATAGAGCAATTGTGTTCTTTTTTGAGAATAACACTTCCGGGTATTGAGACAGATCAATACGTGATCAAGGATAACTTTTTACAAAGATGCCTATTACAAATGGTAAAACACGGATTGAAAACTTTCAGGTACAGTACGGATGGAAAAGCCAGTTTCAGACATGGAGTTTATACGTGAAGCACACGTTTTTTTGACCCAAATTTTCAGCATTTTAAGCCCATAGTTTTAACCGTGTATAATCCTTTTTTTCAGAAAAGGAAATTAATAAACTATTCAGCAAGGCACCGAACAGCGGATATAGAAACAAACGAGAATAGAATAAAGAAGAATTTGCTATTTTTTGGCATAGTACGTAGATCGATTATCAAAAGGTGTATGATCGCGTATGGTACGCTGCACTCTTGACCAAGTTGTGGAGATTAGGAATTCTAAACGGACTTGTAAGAATGATCGTACTATGTTTAAGTAAAAGAGAATCTTGAGGGTGTGGGTGTGAGTACATTATAATTAGGTACTCACACCCAAAGTATGAATTAATGAACGTCATTGGTCAATTCTATTTTATCTTGTATAGTATGTCTGCGGCCTAAAAAGCAAAACGTTGATAAAAGTATCATTCGATCAAAAAATTAATTTTATCGTCCGCCGACGTTGTAGCTGACGAAAGAAACGAAGAATAACATGAAAAAAAATAATTCCGTCCAAAAAAAACAGACGATTATATATTCTTCGTTTGACTGTTGTTTCTGAAAAAGACAGATGATGCAATGATGACGACAACGACATCTATTGAATGTTTACCGAACGAAATTTGGTTATTATTTATGAGTTTTCTCTCACCAATCGATCTTTACAGAACATTAACTGGTCTTAATCATCGTATTAATGATTTACTTTTTTCTATGACTCCACGTCCAGTTCTCGATACATCTCAATGTGTTGGTGATAGAATATGGTTTTCTGATCTATTTCAGTTAATCGAAGGAAAAGATATTTGGTCACAACTTCTTCGTTCTTCAATCGATACAATTCGTCTTTGTGGGACACTTGTTAGCAATGCACTTTGCAATTATAATCGATCTCCCAAACAATTGATGTCGAATCAAACTTTCTCACATTTTTTTCCTTCACTTCGTCGATTGTATATAACAGGGAACGCTGCTAATCAGATTATAATATCACAATTGTTCGTTCCATTGTCAACAACACTTCGCGATGTTCATTTCACATTTGATGCACCTTTCAATAGTTCATCGTATTATGAAGTGGTGAATAGTTTCACTAATCATGAGTTATCATTTTATCGCATGGTATTTGATTTTGAAAATGGTAGGTTTTTGAATCAATTTTGTAACAACAATTTGCATCTTTTTAATTTAAGAGGAAGCTTCGTTCTTCCTGAGATCGATAATACTACACGAAATAGTCGAAGTAGCAGGAATAATTGTTTTTAGACGACATTAAAGAACATTATGATGCAAAAGAATATGAATGGAAACAAATGCATTTACCAAATACTGTTTATTTATCACTCTACATCAAGCGATTAGATGATCTATACAATCTTCTTGATATTCAATCATTACCCGCTCTCTATCATCTGGGTGTTAGTTTTATCAAACGTGGTCTCATAAATGATGTCAAACTGATGAATGTTAACAATATAACAAGTCGTTTAAGTTTTCTCAAACTTAGTTACATGTCAATGATTGATATTCATGATAATAGTAAGTTTAATAAACAAATATTTAGATTTAAGTTCTAACTGAAGATTTTGAATGGTTTTTTTGAAAAATTTAGCACTTAATCGTCTAAACGATTTTCAAAAATATTTTTAATCAAAGAAAAATCTTGTAACTCTTCGTTCATCATCTTTTCGATTTCTACTTCGTTTTCTTGGTGAACTCGAAGATGAATGGAATAAATATTATTATTCTCAATGGTCGCTTAATGATGTCAATATTGATCACTGTCTTTATTTTCACTCGTTCATCTCTACTTTTTCATCGGAAGATACATAATTACTCCACTGCAATGAAACTCAAACAAACGCCATCGACATCATCAATTGAATGGACTTGCGATTATTTTGATAACTCAGAACAAGTTTTTGAAGTTTTGTCAAAATTTGGGATAATAAAGAAACTCAAATTTGGAACATGGGCTGGAACAAAATTGAAAAATGTGCGTGAAAAGTTCTTCGTTGAGCAAAATTCATATTGATCCTTGAATATTTTTTATTTTTAGGTTGCTACTAAATTTGTTGTCTTTTCGTCGCCATCCAATAAAGTTCAACTGGATCAACTTCGTTCACTCGTATTTTTCACAACTGAAAAACCGACTACTTTTTTCGTCAAATCGCAGAAACAATTATGCCTTCGTATAATTCTTTCAGCAACAACGCAACTTGTTAAATTAACTACCAATTGGAATTTCATAATGAATATAGATTCAAATTGTGCTAGAGAATATTCTTCTATCTCACCTCTTCTCAATTTACGTCATTTGTATTTACGACAATTCAGAAGAGATGATAATTTATAGTTCTCAACACTACAAGAAACTTACTTTTTTTATTTACTAAAAGAATAAGAGAATATCGCATATGATGATATAAGCCGAATAAAAACAATCAATTTCATTTTCTCTTTTTTCGTTTTATTTAGAACCAATAAATTTATTACAATTGATTGACAATTCTCTATTGTCAAACTTATTTCCACAACTTACTATATTCTGGTCAAGTGGAAAGAATATACCTCTTGACGACAACTTCGCCAAATTAGTTATATTAATTGTTACTCATTTTGAAAAACTCACTGAAATGATTATTAACAAAGACTCTCGTTATCGAGATTTAGGCATTCATGGTCATGATTTATTACGTACCCAACAACGTGATATCGAAAACTTATTAAGAAATGTTCATGAATTCCATGATCGAAATCGTATGAGTATTCATTGGACTAATTATCCTGAATTACGTATTTGGTTATAAATGATATTTTTCTTGATGAATAAAATGAAATACTAGATTTTATTGTGAACATTCTCTTTCCTTGAACAAACTGTATTATAGGGTGGGTGTGGGTGTTTCCTTTATATGACTACTTGAACACTTACACCCACCCTCAAGTCTTAGTAATTGATAGTTAGATTTCAATGAAATAGAATCATTCGATATATTTCCATTATGTTAAGGATTTGAACATAATTAACAAATATTTATGTTTGTTAAAAGGCTCAATATAATAAATTTATATCAAAGTCAAAGATTTTTGAATTAATCAATATTTTCTGTTGTCTGAGTTGATACCGAAACATTACTATTACCAGTAGATATTGATGCCAATAAGGGTGGTTCTTTATTACGGTCATTCATTTTTACTCGTGCTATTGCATTCATAATCCATCGTAATGATTCGGTTACCTTATTATTATGTATAACAAGATCTTTATGAATAATAGCAAAAATAATAACTAGTATATCTACCTCTTGTGCATGGCCTTGCATTTGTTGATCAATCTAAATAATTCAAAAATAAATAAATAAAATGTTTTGATCAATAAAAGTCTTTTGATTATTATTAACAATAATTGTTGTAATTAAGAACATTTGTAAATTCGTGTTTTTCTTTTAAAGTTTCAAAATATGACTTAAAAAGTAATAAAAAACTCTTAATATATTTAATTTCTGTAATGCACTATCGTGATGAACATTCTCACAAGTTTGTTTGCTTACTTCATTTATCTTTTGTTGTTGATCAGAAATTGCTTTCATTATCTTAGATCTATAGAAAAAATGTTATAAAAACCATTACAAAATGCTGATCATACTCATTCATGTTAGTTGTGCTATGTGAATGATCATCGTCAGATAACAAATGATCATTCTTCGTAGCCTTTTCTACCTTTGATCGAGCACAATTATGTGTCGCTGCATTTTCAAATGCATCCCAACGTTCGTTTGTTGTATCAGCTGCTGCGATCATTTCTAAATTATTTTGTTATATTTATTGAATGAAACAAATCGTGCTATCAATCTTACTAAAATTACGTAATAATGTTATTGATTCTGATGTATGATCATTAACTTCAGTTTCTGTACAAAATGATTTTGAATAAATATAACGAACAAGTAGTATAATATGTGAAAATATGATTAATGGTGGATAGGCGCATGGCGGTTGTTCAAAATATTCACGAATAAACGAATAACGTTGATATCGCCAATAAAATTCTGTATTTTCTTTTACTTTATCAATTGTATCACTAAATTTTCTAATTGGTTGTCTTCTATAATAAAAATGAATACTTACGTAAAAACAGCAATTAATAAATTCAATATAAGAATATTAATAAATAACATATGAAATGCTAATAAAACATGTGTAGCAGTTGCTTCAGCAACAAGTGATTGTGTACCATTACTGATTATCTCTAAATAAATATAAATAAAATATGATATAGTTTTAAACTAGAAGAGAATCTTTACCATCAAGTAAATGTTTATCCGATACGTCTCCATATATAAACCAGTATGGTTCATAAAAGATTGATCTAAATATATCACTACCAGTAAATGGAATTTGTCGGTAAAGAATTAATGCACGAGATACAACACCATATGCAGCTATTGCAATCAAAATTATATAGAAAAAAGCAGCTAGATCACGAAGCTAGAAATTCATTTATTCATATATCGCATAT